AATATTTGAGAAAATGTGCAGTTATATGAGAAAATATGTCATCCCTTTCATTGAATTAATCAGGAAATTGTAGAATATATATATATATATATATATACACACACACGAGGCCAATGTGGCCGAATATGGTATGGTAAAGGCAAAGATTTAGCCTAATCCTAAGCAATGAAAAAATACAAAAAAGAAAGGAAATTGAACAAGACTAATGGCTAATCACAGAAAGAAAACTAATCAAACCTAACGGCTATGTCATTGGTGATGAACTTACTTCCTTTCTCTAATACTAGAAACATTCTATACACATGCACACTTGTAACAATTCTAAACCAAAACACTTATGCACATGTCGAACTTCTCATTTGTATCATACATTTTTTTTTCTTTTTTTGTAATTAACACTTTAAACTAATTTTTGTCTCAGTCAATATTTTTTATAATTTAAAACTTATAAAAAATTCTTAAACTACCAGTAAAATCATGATGCCAATAAGGGGTTCGACCATAAATTTAAAATGCAAATGAAGAGTTTGATCGTTAATTTTTAAGTTTTTTATTGATTTTAAATAGTAAAAAATATTAATTGAGATAAAAATTAATTTAAAATATTAACAATAAAAAAAATGTAGAGTGTAAATAAGATAAGGTGGATCTACATTGAGGTGAGGTGAGGTTAGGCACATACCCTACCCACCTCAAAAATTTAGTAGAAGTTAAGCCACAACTGCTTTAGGCTTATGGCTTTATAAATAACTTATTTGAAGGGGAACAACAGGTCTTACCCATCATTAAATCCTAGTTCCGCCCGTGCTCATGTACTATAATTGTCAGAAATTTTTAAACAAAAAAATTGAAAATATATTAAAAAGGTGTTAAATTGTATAATGAAAGTATAGTTTATTTTTTAAATTTATTAAAATATTTTTAATAAAATTATTTTTTATATTATTTTATTTAAAAATTTTAACATTTTCATAAAACATGATATACTTTTAATATATTATATAAATTGTAAAATATTAATCTCAAAATATTTACACAGATATAATTAGTTAATTACAATAACTTCTTTGGATTAATATGAGTTTCTAGAATGTCTCCTCTATTCATATCTTTCTTAGAAAGAGCTTAAACACTAGTACGGATAGAGCAGACAATGAAAAGACCTAAGACAAAGACTACATGCAGTTACTGTGTTACACAGGAAAATGATGAGGCAAAAATAGATGCAGCAATAATGGGTGCTGCAGTCTCCCTCATTAGTTTTCCTTGAGCAAGAGGAAAGCAATTACCTTGAGAATAAAATCAATTTCTTCCAAATGGCTTTTTCAAGGGATTTAACTTGACAGCATGAAATTCCAAGCACAAGGTTCGCTAATTGACGAGTTAGTTTGACATACCAACTCCACAATAACTGCTTTGATTTTGAAGGATTTTTAGCCCCCTTAAGTCATTTTCCAAAAGGAGATATCACATATCCCAATTTTGAATCTTATTTAAAATATATATATTGGTATCTATTACGAACCAAGAATGCCAGACAAACAAACATGGCTCACAAAAGATCCCCACAAAATGGCTTGGGAACAAATTTCATCTGGTTATCTTCATACTGTGAGCCTCATGATTTGGTATGGAATCATTTTTTTTTTAGAAAATGATTTAGGGACAATATTTAAATACAATCATATATATTATTTAATAATTGATTTTTTTTAACACTAATTAGACTTAATTGTGCACATATCATTACCCTTCTTATGCTAGTGAAAGCCAGGAAAGGCTCTCATACAAACTTCAAGTTCAAGTTTACTTGTATCAATGGCATGGTAGAAAAAAAGAGAGTTTACATTGGGGAAGTTGGAAAGAAAAGTTGTAAAAATAGGTTAGTGCACATGTCATGACTCTTCTTTGTTGCTAGTGACCTTGCAAGGTCTTTTGTGAGTAAAATTTTCTGGCCTAGCAAAACAGAGGCTCTCATAAGAACTAAGGTTCAAGTCTACTTAGTATTAATGGCATGCCGAGGAAAAAAGAGTTACACTTACAACCCCTTAATATCCAGATCCATAATGGGATTTTTCCCATTAGAAATGCATTGTCCCAAGAAGAATCATTGCAGCTGGAAGAAAAATTAAGGCTTAAGCTTCCTGAAGATACTACCATTGACACATGCTTATAAACAGTGGACAGAGCTCATTTCGTTGGAATTTCACTTAAACAAATTCCTAACTTTCTTCTTGGTGGTAATTATATTTTCCAACTTTGTGGACATCCCTTCTTTATTATGTTTCCTTAATCTTTACTTATACCTTTCACATCCCTTTTGAAAGCCTGCAATAATTCTGGTTCCCTCCCCATTTTCTCTTGCTTTTGAGCTGCCCTTCTTTGGAGTCTCATACTTTTGCAAAAATGTTGGGATTAAGATAACCTGCCCACCAAGCCCTTTTCTTCTCTTCATTTCACGTCCCATCTCTCTTTTTCTCTATTTCAATTCTTAGAAATATATTAAAATAATTGAGGAAATGCAAAATTGATTGCTTTGCTTTGTATTCAATTGATCATGAATGATTCACAAGAGAGTGACATTAAAAAATAACTAATCTTGAGCTCAAAGTCTCACATTTCTGATGTGTGCAAAATTGTTTGGATTAATGTCACCCTTCTGTCAATGGACCCATGAGTCCTAACCTCCATACCATGAAATATTAGAAAAATAATGCTTGTGGGTCCTAGGAAAGCTTTCTACTTTCCCACTCTCCACCAATCCTCAGCTGTGTCTGTAACCCCGGGAGATTGATTCCAATTTCCTTCAATTCATTGCAGTAGTTACGGGTTTAATGTAAATAAAGAAGCATTCTTTGTCGTTTCTTTCATATTTTTAACATAAATGTTTAATCTTTCTTACGATAATGGAAACTTCATTGCAGGCAGTTCTGTATAATAAACAACACCTACCCATATTTAGCACGCGCCCCACGCGCCGGTCACGGGGGGCCGCCGTCGAGTGCGGTCCAATCCCTTTATAGAAGCAATGAATATGAGTACTGCTAACCTTCTCCATTTTGTCAAAAAGGGGCAGAAGCAAAAAGCAAGGAAATTTGCTACAGAAGCAGTGAATGAATGAGAATCATGTGATCTACCTCTCACTCTTCTCTTTTACTCTTGAATCACCGAAGGCAATAAATTTCTCCACCCAACAAACGGCCCCAATTTCTGTGTACTAGTGTTTTTTCTTTTCTCAGTCTCGAATTGTTTCTCTCTTTTTTCTTGGTTCTCTTCCTTCCAATGGCTTCCAGTGCTTCGAGATTCATCAAGTGTGTGACAGTAGGAGATGGGGCTGTTGGCAAGACCTGCATGCTTATCTGCTATACTAGTAACAAGTTCCCAACTGTATGTTCTTTCTTCATGTCTATAATCCATCTGGGTTTCTCGACTTTCGTTTCTTTTTGGTACTTGTTTTGTTATTTGTTTACATTATAGTATCTGAATATGGGTTTTGCAGCCTTTTTGGGTTTCCATCTTCTTTTAATATCAATTGCAGAACCTTTTCTTAGTTTGTTAGGCTTTGTTTTGGGTTTACCTGTTCATGGTCATACTGAAGCTGTAGGTTTCTAAAGTTCTGGTGTTTCTTATCTTGGTTGCTGCTGTTCTCTTTCTCATGGTTCCTTTTTCTTTGTTTGTTTCTTTCTATTTCTGAATTCTTATAGTTCTTGTGGCTTTTCAGGATTACATTCCAACAGTGTTTGATAACTTCAGCGCAAATGTGGTAGTTGAAGGCATCACTGTCAACTTAGGCCTTTGGGACACAGCTGGTATCATTCTTCTAACAAAATTTATTCAATTTCATGTCTCCTTCTCTGATCCTTGCTAAATTGTCAATTTTAAGTATAGTCTGACTTTACTGATAACAGTCTTTTTTTTGGGCTAAATTTGGAAGCTGCATCATTATATTACTCTTGTGTTGATTTGTTTCCTAGGACAAGAGGATTACAATAGATTAAGGCCCTTAAGCTACAGAGGGGCAGATGTATTTGTATTGGCTTTCTCATTGGTTAGTCGGGCAAGCTATGAGAATGTGCTAAAAAAGGTCCATTAACTTGAACTTTGGAGTTCTTTTAACAATGAAATGTGTTATTATCTGCATTTGTTACAAGTTTCTGATACATCATTGCTTGATCAGTGGATCCCAGAGCTTCAACATTTTGCCCCTGGGGTGCCTGTTGTACTGGTTGGTACTAAATTGGGTAAGCTAGTAAGCATGTGCTTAATATTTTACAAATTGTGTAAATGAAACTAGAAAATTCTAATATTCCTTGATGACTTTAGTTTGGAATGTGGTTGAGTGATGAGTTTTACTTTCAAAGAATGTCACTGGGTTAATTAGTTAACCAATAGATAAGCATTTTAAATGAAGATTCTGGATTTAATAGTTGATACTGTATTCATTCTTTATTTTCAAGGATACTAAGTGAAAGGTAAACTTTTATAGCAATTCTGTTTTTGTATCTTATCTATCATATGATTTTTGTCTACTAAAAACTCAAAAAATCTTCTTTTTTCTCTTTTTACCATCATTCTTGGATGAATGAAGTGCCCCTAGTACCTAAGAGGCTCAAATTTAAACTGGAAAATTGGCTTATTCAATGCAATTGATATTGATTTTCTGCAGAAAAATGAAGTCCATATTTGTCTATACCTGATGCCTCTTTTACATCTTAGTGGTTGATTAATTAATGTTCGTATCAAATTGCCACAAAAAAAATGTAGACACAATTTGTCACCCTAAATTTCAATTTTCAAGAAATCTGCCCAAATTTAATGTTAAACTCCATTAAACTATTGCTCTTTAATTTTGTTAGGAAGTTAACAGCAATTGTTAAATTTGGGTCAATTTCTTGAAAATGAAAATTTGGGGTGGCAAATTACATCAACACTTATTTTGGGTGGTGATTTGCTTCAATGTAATAATGTTGGGGAGAATCTGCCCCTTTTGCCAAAATTTTACTGCTTCCATTTGAAAAGAAAATATTGAATTTTTTGAGTTTTTTTAAGTTATGGACACAATTATTTTAAGAATAAATCTGAGGACACATTACTGTAATTTTCATCTAAATTCTTGTGTTATTATCTGAATAACACACTAAAATGAGTCATTTGCAATGGACACAGATCTTCGTGATGATAAGCACTACTTGGCTGATCATCCTGGATTGGTGCCTGTGACCACTGCACAGGTATGTTCTATTTTTCAGTTGTACTTACTTGGTAATCTCATGTTCAGAATTCTGATGCTTACAATCACGTGGAAGCAGGGGGAGGAACTTCGCAAACAGATAGGTGCAGCCTACTACATTGAATGCAGCTCAAAAACACAGCAGGTAATGTGCAACCATGCAACATAGTCAAGTATCCACTTCAATTAATAATCTAATTGATTAGCAGCATAAGCAGAATGGCTCTCCAGGGGAAAATGTGGCCTAGAATGACCCTATCTTGTGGCAATTAAGATTATGTCATCTTTAAACTTAAATACCTTGTCAAGATTGTTATATCTAGAGGTCATTCACTTTTTCATGTGGATTGTATCATTTAATAGTGAAGACCTTTGCAAATTTATTTTTGTTTAACCATAGCATTTTGGCACGTATATTCTATTGTATGATAGAACAGAATACATACTTCTCTGTGAACCAGACCCACAGTTACTCTAATTGATAGACTGTGCCTGGTCATTCATTTTGTGCAAGTCTCTCAGTTAGAAAATATCATTTTTATTTGAGGGTAATTTGCTTTTTGAATCATAATTTTCACATCATTGCAGAACGTGAAAGCGGTTTTTGATGCTGCGATCAAGGTTGTCATCAAGCCACCCCAGAAGCAAAAGGAAAAGAAGAAAAAGCCAAGTCGAGGATGCCTAATGTCAGTATCCTTGTTTCATATATTTCCTGGGACTTGTTTATTATCCTGATTGATATGTTTTGGCATCACACTTTATCACAAGTGTTTAGAGATATTCATAGGTTCAATGCCATTAAGGTTTTCTTAACATTGTACGTGGGTGCATTTCATCTCTGTTTTCTAGCAAGTATTCTCTTACAGATTATATTTTAATCATTTTCAGTATGGTAAGCATGTATTTATGCCTTTATACTTTTCATTACTTACATTTGCAGAATCGATTTCCAGAATTCAGGCAAATCAAAGAGAAGAGATAACAATTTCTTATTTTTCTAGTAGCTTAGCACTTGCATGGTAGTGCAACTCATGTTATGTTCCTTGGGCTTCTCACTGAAAAACGATTCATAACTCTGTCAAAACCAGTTAACTAAGTTCCATCATGCATTATTTGGTTCATTATTCACATTTATTCTGTCTTCCCTTGGCATGATTTGGTTCTTGTGCATATTGCAGAAATGTCTTCTGTGGGAGGAACCTTGTGCAATTTAAATGAAGTAGATCCAGCTAAGAACAACATCAAATCAAACATCATTTACCACAATCCAACACTAATGCTCCCTACAAAATCTTCATTCCATCGGATCTGTGAGTTTTTTTTTCTTTTTTTTTTTGTGCAACCCTTTAACCGATTGCATAGAATATCTTTCCCAATGTCACTTTTGTAGCTGTGTCCATTTAAAGTCATACGATCCAATTATTGTGAAGAATATATGTTTTGGACACTAATTCTTGTGTTTTATTTTATTTGTAATGTAATATAGATTTATAAGAATTATAGCTGTTCCTGTAATCCTGTTGTTGATATAAAAGATAAAGATGTATGGTAACAGCTTTCTCAAAAATAGGATATGCATATTGCCATTCCTTGTTAATGGCGTTATTGGTGTTTAAACTCGTGGTTTCTTACATTGTGTTCAAATGTGTATTTTATTATTATTATTTTTTTTAATAATTGTTAAAGGCAGTTGCTTCTTTGCTCTCGTAGGAATTTTTCGAAGTAAGCGAGTTTAACCTAAGCTAAACTCTTATTGGTAGAGCTTAGATGTGAATTATCATAGATGTGCATGAACGCATTGGGAAAATATGTTAAGCGAGTTTAGCCGAGGCTAAACTCTTGTTAGGTGCACTTTTTCCTCTCTAAACATCAAAGACTTGTAATGGAAAAAATGATATTTTTTTTAGCATCAGTGTTTATAAACAAGTTTTATAAAGAATTGATAGATGGAGGGGAGAAGAGAAGAAAAGCGTATTCCAAGCTGATGATATGAACTTTCCAGGTGCTGCAACAACACAGATTTTGTTTACAGGAACTCATTCTGAGGTCTATCACATGATCCATACACCCATTATTGTTTACACCTAATATTTGCCCTCTAGCGTCTCTGACTCTCTATAACTACATTTTATTACCGAATCAGACTTTGATTACATGGTGCTAAGCTCAAATGTAAATTACCATAAGCATCAACTGTTTGGATATCTCATATGAATAATTTCAGAGGACATTAAAACTAATAACAATCGAAACGCTGCCAAAAATGAAATAAAAGCAGACATTTCATGATTCCACTGCAAGTTATTTACTTAGAAGACTTGTTTTTTCTTATAGAAGGAAAATTACAATTTTCCACTAAAACAAGAACCTCCAAAGTAGAACTATATTACAACTCAGAGAGCAGAACACCTGCAATTAAAAGACTACGAGGTCTTCCATCAAATATAAACATACATTGAAATGAACTGACATCTGTTTCCCTGGGCTCAATTCAATCACAGAGGTGGAAGCAAGCATTCATGAACAAAGCAAAAGCTGTCATTGGTTGAAGGTACCAAGCCAAATACCTTATGTGAACACTGATACCTAAGTTTTAAGTAATAAAACTGGAACAAACTACAATTAGAAGTTCAATTTGATAAAATTAGGATAGCAATACGCGTAAGCACTGCAAGTACTGAGTCATGGCACATCAGAATATGCTCAAGTATCAAAATCTTGGTGACCACTTTAATTGCGAGGGGAAAAAAATAAATTCAGGGGAAAAAAAGGAAAGAAAGATGTGAACTAAAAACCAGTATGGGCACCAATTTCTAATGTCTGGGTAAACATTGCGCATGATTTCCAACAGTTATAATATCTACAAAGGGAGAAACTGATCTGCATCCAGAACAAATTCAAGGAACAAATGGCTTGAAAACCCCGAACAGATTCTTTTACGATACAGTTGATACAGCAATTGATGGAGGTAGGAGACTAGGAACAACATCAGATGGCTCACTTACCACCCATCCGTCACGTGCACCCCAGTTAGATGATATCTGGGGGTTATAGCCAAATGCCCCATCCTTGACTGCCTGAAAACAAATTACACCAGGCATAAAACTTCGTGCAAAAACCCTTGAAAAAAAAAAAAAAAAACAAGAAGAAGAAAAACCTACCATACAGCAAAACAGCAAAGAAAGCCTCAACACTAAGGAAAAAGGAAAAAGATAGTGCATACCACCAACACCACCACCACCACCACCATCACCTTTGTACATTACATTAACAGCATTGTATATGGTATGTACAGAGTACTGTAAATATTGAAGACAAGACCCACACCGGACACACTTGCGCGCTGCAAAACGG